GAGGACGTAATTAATTCTGATGGGAAGTATCATATCAGAAACTACTACAGAGGATACGTCGTCTGGGCCCAGTTCTAGCTCCACAGTCTCAAGTCTACAAACCATCATATTTGATTGGCATGAAAATATTTTAGGTATCACAAAATGGGGGTAAGACAGCAGCGGGTGATGACAGAGAGAGACAGAAATACCATCCCCTTAGTGAACTGTGGATTCAAATACAGCAACATGGAGATCAGGTGAAAATCCTGGCTTTTAGAACAATCTTGCCCCCATTCCTTAAGCCATAAAATGTTAATGCCCAGAAGCCAGAGGAGTAAGGTTTTGATTAAGCCCTATCTTTTGTTCTCTCTTCCAGTCAAAGGTTATTTCTTCTCCACCTACCTCCAGCTAAGCTTTTCTCTAGGCAAGATTTCAAACCTCGATTCCTTATCCATTTAAAATACTCCTCTCTTGGGTAATCTAGATCCCTGGGATTAAAGGGGAGAAATGGAACTGCACTGACCTAGGGAGTACAATGCTGAGGGGACCAGGTACGTTGCCTCCTTCCCTATGCACTGCCTGCAAGTGACCTGTTTCCTTCCAACAGGGGTCACCAGAGGCCACAGGGACCTGCGCCAGGCTTCCAGGAGGCTCCCGGAGGGCAGCCTAGAATGTGAATGCAAAGGTCAGTATCTCAAGCATCAACACGGGCAATTAATTGCACCATTGTCCCCACCTTCTCCCCTGAGCCCCCCTGAAACCAGTGCAGATGTGATCTGAGCTGACCCCACCCAGTCTCCTCTCTACCGGCCCACCCCGTGCAGCACCAACCAGTTTTCTTCCAGCGTCTTCCAAGAGCTGGACTCCTCCAAGTTCCAGGGAGAGCAGGCAGCTCCGGCTCTCTTTACCTTTTCCTGAGAACCCAGGGCTGTCTTCCAGAATGTCCTTCAAAAGCTGCGTGGGTTCTGTTCTCAACCTTACTTTCCTCACAAGGAAATCAGAGTGGCAAAATGGCTCGTGCGAGGCTACGCAGCCACTAGAAGTCAGGCACCCCACCCCACCCCTGTCGCTATGAGTCGGATCCAACTCCACGGCAGTGAGAGTGGTTTGGTTTATTAAAAAACAAAAACACCAAACTCACGGCCGTCAAGTGGGATCCGACTCATAGCGACCCCTCCTTGGATTTCCAAGGCAGTATCACTAGGGAAGTAGATTGCCCAACCTTCCTTCTGAGGAGTGGCCGGTGGGTTTGAACCGCCAGCCTTCTGGTTAGCAGTCAAATGCCTTAGGCACTACATCACCAGAGCTCCCTGGTTTGTAAAAGCAAATTCATTCTAAAACACACGTTTTATGTCTATGTAAAATGTATATAAAAACTGAAACATACACATAGGTAATGGCATAAAAGGAATTGAGGTGTCCATTTGATCATTAAATTGAGCTTTTGAATTTTCTAGTAACTGAATTTAAAAAAGAAATGGTTTTAATTATATAAAACTCAAACTCACTGCCATCAAGTCGATTGCAACTCATAGCAACCCCTCCTTGGGGTTCCCAGACAGAAGTAGATTGCCCCATCTGCCTTCTGAGGAGTGGCTGGTGGGTTTGAACCGCCAGCCTTCTGGTTAGCAGTCAAGTGCCTTAGGCACTACACTACCAGAGCTCCCTTTAATTATATACC